GTGATGCATGCATGTATGTATGCTTGTAATTGTAAGCATGTATATGTGTATGCTTCTTTGAACAGTTCCTTTTGTGTGTGTTCTTGCACCTGTTCCTCATTTTGCTGTTCATTTGAAAAAACAACGAAGACGAAAACATTCAAATTTTAGCCTTTATAAGAATGTCTGGATCAGTGGCATCGGATGAGACTAGCGAAATGGTGTTGATCACAGGTAATTCGCATCCGCAGTTGGCAAAATTGGTTGCGGATCACCTGCAAATACCTTTGGCAGATGCTGTTTGTTACAACAAGCCTTGCCGGTAAGTTTTCCCGCATTTAATTTGTAGCAGAACTTTTCTGAATCAATTTTTGTCTTGCAGTGGGAAAAGTCAGCTCCTTCTCACACCCTTCGTCCCCTCCCCTTTCTTTGCTCCTGTTTCTTCTAAGAGAGTATTCATTTTCACTTTTAAGCCGAAAATGCTTGAAACTAGCCCAGTGTTGAGGAGGTGCTAACAGAAGTAACTCTTTGGCAAAGCTGTCGATGGCTTCCTCTTTCGAAAGTTGCTTAGGAGCAAATTGATGGCAGTTTCGATCCGTTGACGTTTGCCGTTATGAATTTACCACTGAAGCGAATGAACGAGTCCCACAGGAATTGGTTGTCCCATTGGTAGAGTTATGCACTCGACTAAAATGAGCGTAGACGGGTCCAAGAGAGTAGCTGGGCGGGGGAGCTGGAGGGTAGGAGCAATCGGTCTTTCGCCCCCTCCAGCGGCACAGGCTTTAGTGCTACAAAAGTCGGGGTCTAAAGTTGAAACTGAAGAAAACTCTCTTCCGCACCCCCGTTCCCCTCTCACCTCGGTCGTCGGTAGGCCATGAACCTCATTTCCCCCTTCCTCCTCCCCTCACCCCCTCCCCCTCCGTCCCTTCCTCCCACCTCTCCGGCAGGAAGCTGTCCTGGATCTGCCTATGAGAACAAGTGTGGATTTAAATTACTCGCAAAGTTTTATAATGACTCGGTTAAATGCAAAAAATATGATCAGTCTGTTGTTATTCCTGAGTTGCCAGGAATTTTTCTCATTTATAAATGATGCAGAGAAACGGAAGTGGAAATTCGACAAAGTGTACGCGCGAAGAACGTCTTCATCCTGCAGACCGCATCGAAAGGTATGTTATCGTATCGAATACAGCTGGAACAAATAGTTCTTTATTGAAATACTTGGATCAGCTTTATTCTTCACAGTCTGATTCTCCAACTATGCAGATGACCACTTTTCCATCTGCTTTGGCCAGTGCTGCTTCGTCCATTATTCAGCTTGCTGATGATCCTGACGCTCGTTTTGTCTTCTTAAGAGATTATCGATTTGACAGTTTTCTTGACAGAAGCACTTGGCAAGTCTTAAGCCGTTTTGACATGTCTTTGATGTGTGAGTGGTATCGCTCGTTATCAAGAAAGTGTCCATCCCAAGGCCACGATATCTTACCGGCTGGAAGAATTAATTATTGTTTTTAACTAGTATACAGTTAGGTTATCAACTAGGAAGAGTAAGTACCATTGATTTTTTGCGTTTCTCAAAACAAATTTCGATTTCTTTCGGAATGTCTGGAATCTTTTGTAAAACTGGCTTCTGGAAGTCTATTTTTCTCAATAATCTTCACCCCATGTGAATTTGTTTTGCATAATTTTATAAATTCCTGATTTACTAAGTATATAGATGTCAACAACGATATCTGGGAGGTCCTAATTCTGGCGTATACTTGTCGAACCGCTGATGCGAAAACGATCACCGTTGTTATGCCGTTTCTACCCTACTCGATGCAGTGCCGAACATCCAGAAGGTGGTTTTTGTTTTCAGTTCAGTGCGCTTTTTGCAAATTTTCCCAGAAAAACTTTCCTCATACCTGGTTTTTTTTCGTGCTTTTTTGAAGCTATAGCGTCCATTGGCTTACGAACTAGCCGGTAGACTGCCCGTTTTATGTACCAAAAATATCAAGACCGCTTGGGCTATCAGTGTGGGTATCCCCCTTTTAGTGATGTTACTGGGTTACTCCCGGCGGAAGTTTGAGGTCCGTTTACTAGTTCCTTAGCAAGCGTTTTTTTTGGACGAGCATTTCCACTACGACACGTACAAACATCTACTACGGAAAATTCAAAAATGATTTATTACTGATTTAGGGGCAAAAATGATTTCTTAATTTCTTACCTTGTGCTGGAACCAATTTGCTGAAGATGTATGGAGGGATGAATTATGGGATAGGAACGGAGGTTAAATTGTTAAATCTATCATGAGAGGATCATTTTTTTGCTACAGCAAAAAAATTGCAGATCGGCAATCCCGATGAAATTAGTAGCGGATATGATATGCAAAGCCGGAGCCACTCGAGTTGTTTCCCTTGATCTATACAGGTATGCGTTGCTTTTTGCATAGACTTCAAGTTTTTAAATTCGTGGCCAAACTTATTCGTTTTTTTTTTTTCAGGAAAGAGATTCAGGGATTTTTCGGGGTTCCAGTGGAGAATCTCCGCTCGTCGCCATTCCTTCTGCACTACATATTTCGCAATATTCCGGACTACAGAAATGCTGTGGTTGTTGCGAAAAGTCCGAAGGTTATGCATAAAGCAGCAAGCTATGCCGATCGACTCAGGTTATTTTTTGGAAATTCCGGTATAAATCCCGATTTCGCTGTTGGTTTGCTCGGATTTGCAACACGTATAGGTTGATTTGCAGGGTGGGCATAGCGGTGATCCACGGTTCCGTCAAGGATTACAACGAACTGCCGGATGATGATCGCCAGTCGCCGCCCTTCGATAATAAGGGTTTTCAGAAATTTTTCTTTTTTCTCCATTTTTATACCTTTTTTGCTGTGTAATAGCAACACAAAACATATAGTGTCACACACGCACACTATCGAGCACTTCCACTTCGATGTTCTAGAAACGCGGACTGCTGGCGTATCGCTCTCATATGAACTCTTTCCGCCACAAGCCGTCAAAACGAAACCACCGCTTACAGTGGTTGGCGACGTCGGAGGCAAAATTGCAATCCTCGTTGATGATGTCATCGATGAAGCACAAACATTTGTTGCCGTTGCAGAAGTAAGCTAAGTATATTTATTGGAGGAGTGGGATTTGAGGCGTGATGGAACTCTCCTTTCTTTTATGCGAGAACTATCCGGTGAGCGTAAATATCCTCCCGAATTCCCAGCTTCCTAGCTTTTCTGGTTCCCGAGTTAGTATAAATTTCTCTCCAAGATTATACCTGGGTGTATATAATAATTGAGTTTAAAACATTTGATTTAAATGTGGATGTAAAAAATCCTTGTAAAATCTTTGAACTTCCTAACCTTTCTGGTTTCAGAGTTAGCGATTTTCTCGCCGAGATTTTTCTTTCACATGCCCCTACATGATACCTAGGTCTACATGAAAACTGGATTTGAATTTGCGGGGTCGCATGCGGACAGGGAACAGTTCCATAAAATTTCAGCTTTCTAGCTTTGTCGGCTGTTCAGTTGGAAATACGGGATAAATCGCGCTCGCGTGCATACACACACACACGCACACACATACATACACACACATACACAGAGAGGAACATACAAACGCACAGGGACGTAATATTGTGCGTCTTATGCAACTGTTTCAGCAAAAAATGCATAAAAAAGCAAAAAATTAATTTAGAACGGCAGCGTAAGAGAGGCAAAAAATTTGAGATTACCGAGGTACTTGATTCAGATAAGATTATGCATAGTTTGCTTGAAAGGGCATTTAAGGAGTGCGCAAATGCTAATTCGTTAAAAAGCGAGGGAATAAATGTTAGAAAATGGAATCATGTCATATCAAGTAAAAAAAGTGTGAAAAACTCCTCTTCGGTGAACCATCCCGTCATAGTCCAGGGGCATTAGCGTTCGAGACGAGGTGATGATATACATTAGAGACATCCCGAAATAGCTAAAGCCTCAATATGTACCTCTAACCGAAGGGCTGTTGAGCTGGTGGTTCGTTCAGGCAACGAAACGGACGTCGGAATTGTCACCAGGCTGACCATCAAGCTATGCAACATGGGTCTGCAGCAGTTGATGAACTTGTCAGCAGTATAGTTGAAAAGTCGGACAATAAATTAATAGCTATTTTAATATTCAGTATAGTGAAAATGGGAAAGATGTTGTTTTATAGTTTTAAACGGAGGTACCACAGCTCTGATGATGTTTTAGTGGCTTATTCAGACTTAATGTATAACATTATTACTGCATAAGTGTTATAAATGCTTGTCGTTTAAACCATTTATTTTGTTTTTAGGTGCTGAAACAAAGAGGAGCTTATAAAATTTACGTGGTTGCAACGCATGCACTTTTATCTGGCGATGCACCAGTACTAATTGAAGAAAGCGTAATTGACCAGGTACAGTGACCAATCCAGATTTCAGTAACAGTTGCTCACTGAGAAAGAAGGAAGGAAATATGGATAGAGTTTTGACTCAAAATACCTGGATTGCATGAAATAATTCGCGATTTAATTCACAATTTGATACTGTATCTGTGCAACCTATTCTATAGTAGTGCTGCTTTGCACAGTGGTCAGCCTGCTGGCGGTCTTGCCTTTCATTTTGTCCCTCAAATTTGGGTTATTAAACCTAGCTAGATAGATGAAGATGGTGGTTATATTTTATAATAAAGGAATTGTTTTTTCTCGCCGCATCTACTCTTCTGACCTAAACAATGAAATCTGCAGGTGATTGTGACCAATACAATCCCGCATGACATGCAAAAATTACGCTGCCACAAAATCCAGACAGTGGACATTTCGCTGCTCATCTGTGAAGCAATACGATGCATCAATCACCGCGAAAGTATGGGACAGCTTTTCCGTAATGTCACTTTGGATGACTGAATGTTGCTCAAATCAAGTGTTTTTATTTTTATAGTATCTGTAATAGTGCAGTTTAACTGGAATCTGTTACCACTAAGATCTCTTTCTTTCATTATTTGGGGAGGGTAAGATTTTTCGGAAAAAATGAAGGTATTTCTTTGCGAGTAGAAGAATTTTGCGGGTTTTTTGTTTTTTTTCAAGTGCAGAATTTCTGTTTTTGCAATTTACCTCCTATTTTAAATACAAAATTTTTTATAGCCTATTCCAAAATCACTTGAAATTTTGTCTTTCTGTTTTTGTTTTTAGTTTTTTGGCAAAAAACACGTTGAAGCAGATGATCTAGAATCGCTACCCCATGATTGTTACGTGCAATTTCAACTTCGGTATGCCCCGAATTTCTCAGCCAAGCTGATTCTTGCACGGTTTTAGCATACGAGTAATATTAAGAACCGAAATAGGGCAGGAGTAGAACGGACTGTGTATGTATGGATGTAGAAATATAGCTGGTATGGGAAGAATAAGTAAGAGTTAAGACGTTTCGGTCCATTAAGTCATATACGTCTTAGCTCAATACCACGACTGAACCTCGTCAGTATGACGGTCGCGGTGTTCAGAGAAGGAAGGAAAAAGGAAGGAATGAAAGGCAGGAAGAGAGAAGAAGAGGAAGATAGAGAAAGACAACTTTTATTATGTCACTTATTGAGACGGAACTATACTTTCACTACAGTTAAATTATCAGGGGTTTATTCATGAAGCTAAACGAATCTTTGTAAGTGAGCTTTTTTATCATTGATGGTTTATCTCGTTTCTATTTTTGATTTATCGATGAATTGAAATTTTGAATGATAAAGACTACTGCTACTACTTTTTATGCGTTTTTGCATATATGCAAATTGCAAAAACGCATATTGGGAAGAGGCTGTCTGTGT